CACACACACACACACACACACACACACACACACACACACACACACACACACACACACACACGCATGCACACACACACACGCAGAGTCAATCTGTCTTTCTTTCCGTCTGTCTGTCGGCTTGTGTGCTTGTTTCGCCTTATCCTCTCTCAAGGAGAACAGAAAGAGACCGAACAAGCGGGCATGACACACGAGAGGCAGGGGAGAAGAGGAGAAGAGGAGAAGAGGAGAAGAGCAAAGGTGAGAAGAGACCTGGCTTGGCTTCCGAACACGCTTCCTACATTACAAACGACACATGATGTTACAGTAATTCAAGAAAAGCAGAAAGAAGAAAGAAAAAAGAAAGAGATTATAAACGATACAAGCATGCATGGCTTCCTTCTCTAGCTGCAGTTACCCTAAGCTCAAAACTTCAGCACTACTACGAAAGTGAGAAGAAGACAATCAACCAAGAGCCTAGCTCAGCGGGGACCACACCCATGAACTGTTGAAATACAGACCCGAGTTCGATGGAACTACTTAATGAGTAAAACGTACTAAAAAACAAATATTTCTGAATTGCCTGCCTGGGGCCGGTAAGCTCAATGATGATATCTCATTAAAATAATAATAATAATAATAATAATAATAATAATAATAATAATAATAATAATAATAATAAAAATAAATAAATAAATGATGACAGGGCCGACGCCCTTTATAAAAAAAAACAAAGCAAAACAAAAAAAACAAAAACAAAAAAAAAAAACGAAGACAAACTATACGTGAAATAAACTGCAAGATCACGGGTGACGACGATAGGCTCACCTGTTCGCCTCTTCGTCCTTGCCTTCCCGCCTCCTGCAACTGGAGGACTCTCTTCTCTTCTCTCCGCTCTCTCTCTCTCTCTCTCTCTCTCTCTCTCTCTCTCTCTCTCTCGTCCGTTCGTTCGTTCGCTCGCCCCCGCGCGTGCGCTCTCTCTCTCTCTCTCTCTCTCTCTCTCTCTCGTTCGTTCGTTCGCGCGTGCGCTCCCTTGCTATTTATGAATTATGGGCGGACGTCATCACCCCGAGGGTGCTTACAGGAAACGGAACTCGCAAACGTGGAGGTCCTACAGAGCGTTTTGGCTCTGCGATCGAGATCCGGCCGTAGTTCTCTGCCCCGAACGGCCGAGCCTAGGGGCATGCTCCAGCTAGTAGGACTTTTTCAACTGAGCTGTGGACGTGATCGAGGTCAGATGCGTCCAAGCGGGGCCGGAATTGCAGTCAGAAGCCGGGAAGAAATTGCGGTCAGATACATTTAGAGAAGTGCTACCGGTAGTGTCTGTAGGCCTTCAGATCCGTCGCTCATCAGAGAAAATCGAATTTCGGGGATATCCTGCAAAGGGCTCAAGCGGTATGAGCTTTTCTAAGGGGGCGAAATTGCATCTGTACCACATATACCCACTATACCCGCTATACCCAGATACCCTTATTTGCATACCCAAGACTGAGGTGGAGCCACCAAATTGCTGTTGTAACCAACTACAGGAATGCTCAAATTATGGTCATACCCAGGCCAGATTATGGTCATACCCGGGACTGAGGGGGACCGTCCAGATTGCGCTTATACCCAACTACCTGAAGGCCAAAATTATCCTCACGGTCAACTGGGATATGCAAAGAGGGTTGGATTGAACTCCTGAATCTGGACTGGTTGACCGAGAAGTGCAGGGAATTGTAGTTTCAGGAGCTTAACCCAATCCTCTTTGCCCATGGGACCTCATCTTCACTCTCCCCCCATCTCTCTCTCTCTCTCTCTCTCTCTCTCTCTCTCTCTCTCTCTCTCTCTCTCTCTCTCTCTCTCTCTCTCTCTCTTT